CTAAAACCCAGAGAAGGATAGCAATTTCTCCATGGCCATGCAGTAAGTTAGCAAAAAGAATCTGAGGCAATGCAGATCACTGGATGCAGCCCATGTTGTATCCATTATGTTAACCTGACCTTAGAACTCAAAGGCTTCTAATCAGCAGCTTGATGGAAATGAGAATTCACTCCCATTTCTCCTCTCTCAGACTCTCTTTGCTCCTACCTGCCACACACACACACATGCACACACGCACAAAAGCCAAAATTTAAACACTTTGTTGTCAATGAATTCCAACTCCTGGTGACCCCATGTGTTACATAGTAGAATTGCTCCATCATGGGGTTTTCTTGGCTGTAAACTTTACAGAAACAGATCAACAGGCCTTTCTCTCCTATACTGCAACTGTGTAAGCTTGAAGCACCAACTTTTAGGTTAACGACCAAGGGCAAATCATTTGCACTGCTCACCAGCACCCCCAAATTTAAGAAGAAAACTGAATACTAAACATTTTCTCTTCATGTTATTTTCTCCACCCACATAGTTTTTTCTTCTTGGGCATGAGCAGTCAGTTTTATGCAGTAGATCCACATTCTCCTTACTGAAACTACCGGTACTCGTTTGTATAAGCATGGATATTTTGCAGGCTATAATGTTGAGAAGAAAAACTCCAAGTTGCGTAATATGACAGTGTAACATCCTTTTAAGTTTTGAAATCTGCAGACCATTTTTTTGTAATGATTGTAGATTATGCATATATAATACAGGCACAAAACCACTGAATCTTTGAAAGTGATTAATTCTGGGGTGGGGGGTAACTATGGGCTCCTCATTATATCTATAGTGTTGTATTGCTTTAAAAAAGAAATAGGAAGTTTGAAGAGAAGACAATTAGATAAAACTATATGGTAGGTTTATTATTCTAATATGAGAGGTTATAAGTATGCTTGAAATGCCTCATGAAGTTTAAACATAAAACAGTGTTTACTGCTATCACCACTCACCCATGGTCTCCTATAATTATGCTGATTATTTAAATTACCAATAATGTTGAAAGGAAAGTTACACATACTAGTGATTAGTGTAGGTAATGGAACCCTGGTGTGGCACTGTAGAATGAACACTGCACTGAAAGGTCTATTTGAACCACAAAGTTGGTGGTTCATATTCCAAGCCATCCCTTGGAAACCCTACACAGTATTGCTATGAGTGGAGACAGACTAGACAGCGCTTAAAAACAACAATGAGTAGGTAAGCATATCTTTCCCACATCTTTGTTTAAGCATGTAAGTCTGCCAAATGTCTCCACTAAAGTGTTGAAATGAGCAATTGTGCTTTATTCAACAATGGTAAGAATCTCAAAGAGCCTGAAAAGTCAGAAATGATGGCAATAAGTCAAAAATTCACCTCTCCACCATGTGCAATTGGGAGATTGCTGATTAGCATCGTGGAGAACAGGTGCTGTCGGCTCGGCCTGTTTAGTAAGAATGTAACCTGCCTGCTGTATGCGTCAGCCCATGGTACAGCAGTTCAGCAGCTTTCCAAGGCTCAGTGCTATCAGGAGTCTTCTCCTTTATGCCTCCTTGACCCTGAAGACTCACGGCTTGTTCTTCACTGTTCATTTCCACCCACACAGACACAATGGCAGTAGTGACCAAAGAAACATTACACTTCCATCTAGATTGCACTTCTTATGCTCCAGTGGAGTCAGAAATTAGAGAAAAGGATAATAAAGAAATCAATGTTACCAAATAGAAAAACAGTCCACAGTTACCAGAAGCCCAACTCTGCTACATCCATAAGATAAATATTCTAATTTAATCCTTATAACAGCCCCATGTGATAGGTACTACCATTGTATTCACTTTACAGACAGGAAAGCTGAGGTTTATGGAATGTAGGAGACTTGTCCAAGGCCACACACTGTAAGTTACTCCAAAATGTGCCTTATACTTTATTCTAAATCTCTAGTATAAATAAGGGAACCTAGAGTGGGGAAACTTGTATCAACTGAACTCAGACCAACAATTCCATATCAACTTCCCTAGGGAAAACCCTGGCATGCTTAGATAAAAGTATGGGGGATGACATGAGAAGCCTCAGCAGAAATAAATATCAGTCTGATTCTTACAAAAAAATAAATCCAGGATCCAAACAATTATCGATGCCAAAAAAAATAGGTGAAAGGATAGAATAATTGACTGATGTCCCATAAGAATTTTAAGGACGCCTTCTTCAATGTCAGTTTGTTGGTACATTTGGAGCTGCAGGTCTGTTTTATATGAAGTCTTTGGCTGAAGCAGAGCTGCTCTGACTAAAGATGGAGGCCAGGAATCAGGGGCAGAGCTCCCTGAGATACCACCACAAGGCAGAATTGACAACCCCTTATCTTAGCGTAGTGGTTACAAGTCGGGCTGCTCAAGGTCAGCAGTTCAAAACTACCAGCTGTTCCATGGGAGAAAGATGAGGATTTCTGCTTCAGTAAAGATTTACAGCCTCAGAAATCCTATGCAGGGTCACTATGAGTTGGAACCAACACCACAGCACACGACCACCACCACCATCTTATAGAAAGGAGCCCTGGAGGTGTACTGGGTTACATACACATTGGGCTGCTAACTGCAAGATCTGCAGTTCAAATCCACCATCCACTCCATGGGAGAAAGATGAGATTAGGGGGTGGAGATGTGATAGGATCTGAGAAAAGTAATAACAATGGATAACAGCCTTTGGTATGGGTTGTACCTCAATGTAAAGAAAACAAAAATCCTCACCACTGGACTAATAAACAATATCCATATAAGGAGAAATGATTGAAATTGTCAAAGACTTCATTTTGGTTAGAGCCACTAATAACACTCATGGAAGCTGAAGTCAAAAATTCAAATGACATATTGCATTAGGCAAATCTGCTGCACAAGACCTCTTTAAAGTGTTCAAGAGCAAAGATATCAGTTTGATGACTAAGGTATGCCTAACCCAAGCCTCAATAACCTCACATGCATGTGAACGTTGGACAGTGAATAAGGAAGACCACAGAAGAATTGATGCATTTGAGTTATAATGTTGGAGAAGAATATTGAAAGTACCATGAACTTCCAGAAGAATAAACAAATCTATTTCTGGAAAACACTGCCAGAGTGCTCCTTTGAAGCCAGGATGGTGAGACTTCGTCTCTCATGCTTTGGACATGCTGTCAGGAGGGACCAGTCCCTGGAATAGGACATCATGCTTGGGAACATGGAAGATCAGCGAAAAAGAGGAAGATCCCAACAAGATGGATTGGTGATGGCAGCAGCAATGAACTCACACATGATAACAATTGAGAGGATGGTGCCGGATCAGGCAGTTTGATTCTGTTGTGGGTCATTATGAGTCAGAACTGACGCAACAGCACTTAACAACAAGAGCATTTGGTATGTTTAACTGTGTATTAGACTGTTTTAAGGGTTTCCCCTACAAGCTTCCAAAGAAGGCATAATTATATTCATATATATTTTAAAGTACAGATGAGGAAACTGAAGGACAGAAAGGGTAAGAAAATTGCTCAAGACAAAAGAAGCAAGATCAAATCCAAACACTTTAGTCTCCAAGGCCAGTCAATTAACCATGAAAGTGATATATGTGTCTAACCAGGAGTAAACAGAATCAGATCTCCAGCATAATTCCTGTCTGAGAGATCAGTGACCTTCTGTGTTTCCCACCACCCCAAGCTCTGTCTGCCCCTTGGGGAACAATGACATAGGATTTAAGGGAAGGATTTCAAAGGTTTATAAATCCCAGAAATCTGAAGAAAGAAAGTTATTCATAGTTGAAGTTCATGCTTTGTGCCAAGGGCATTGTTTGAGGGTTTGGTTGCTTATAGATTTTGCACCAGGCCTGATCTTCATTTGGGATCTTATTCTTAATGTAAGCCCCAAAGTGCCTAGGCTGGGACTTTATGCAATGGAAGCAGAGCACATCAGTTTCAGGTTTGCTTAAGAGTCCACCTGGATAATGCAAAGGGTTAAGCACTCAACTACTAACTGAAAGATCTGTGGTTCAAACCTACTCAAAAGTGCCTCAGAAGAAAAGCCTGGTGATCTGCTTCTGAAAGATTAAAGCTTTATAAACCATATGGACTAAGTACACTTCTCATCTGTAGCACATGGGGTCATCATGAGTTAGTATCAACTAGAGAGCAACTGGTTTGGTTGGTTTCAGTGCCTTCTACATTGTTGAGATCTGCTGTAGTGCTGTAGGATAAGTACTGGACTGCTAACCACAAGATCGGGGGTTCAAACCCACCAGCTACTCTTTAAAAACCCTACTCAGGGTCACTATGAATCAAAATCGCTTCAGTGGCACTTAGCAACAACAACAATATTGTGGAGGCCAAGTTACTAGACTATTTGGAGAAGTCATCTGTTTGGGGGTAAAAGCTAGGAGTGCTCCTGATATAAGCACTGGAAGTCCCATGTTCTTGGAAAGCCCCCAGTCCAAGGCAAACCAAGATGGTTGGTCGCTCTGTGTTAGATCTCAGATGATTTGACAACTTCTTAGAGCAATCTGTCTCCATGGCCTCAATTTGACTTACCAAAGAAAGTCATACTATAGTAACAGGTAGGAGGCAGAAGAGCAGCGTTCTTCCCTATTAACAGCACCTTAATGAAAATGGAGTGAGGTGACTGAGGTCAAATATGCCCACCCATAGGCACAGAGGAAGCCACCCCCTGAACGTTCTTCCTGTCCTACGGAATCTTGGGAAGAAAGGAAGTCACACCCTGGGAGTGGCAGCCAAGAGTAGTACTTGCCTCTTAGCAGAGTGAGCTAAAAGTCTTTCTTCAGGAAAAAAGGCTTTTTCCTTTTTTGCAAAACCAGAATGAAAAATACCTAACTGGGCAGGGGGAAGAGGCAACCAGAAGCCATAGTCTTCTCTCTGTGTTTGAAAAAGCAACTTCCCAGCCCAGTGGGCCTTTGATCCTTCTCTGGAAAAACCACTTTGGCTAAGCCCAGGCCAGGACCCTCAGAATACTCACCTGGGACCCAGGACAGACTCCGCTCCCCAGGGATGCAGAAGCAGCCACCCATGTGTGCACCATCGTCCCCGGGCTGAAGCCCCTGGGAACACCAGCCAGAACAGTGCTGAGAGAGGACAACCTCCCAACAGTGTCCCTCCTCCCTCCTCCTCTCAGCACAGAAGGACCAAGGCTCAATGCACAATGCTGTCTTTGATATCCGCAGGAGGCCGAGGGAGGATGGGAGGGGCCACTCAGGCTGAGAGTCCTTGCACTGGGCCTCTGCCTGGAGAGCAGGGCTCCTCCCAGCCTTTCTGCAGATCACTTCATGCCTATCAAGCTGAGGCACATTTTTCGCATTCTAGGATTGAGATATATGGTTTGATTCTTATGGGGGCGGCCAGGACGGAGGAGGAGGGCAGAGAGCATCCCAGGAATCAAGGCTGCTGTTCGCCTCACTGAGCAACTTGGCCCACACAGACTTGCCTGCCACCCCTGGGAAAGTGATCCCCACCCAGCTTCGCTCTGCAGATGCCACCCTTGGGTATCTAGATGGAGCTGGAGCTGTGGGTATGGTGTCTGATCTCAACCAGCAGCATCAATAAGCCAACTCCTTACTGGTGAAAGTGCCAACCCAGCTATGGGCTCTCAAAAATCTCACGTGGTTTTGTCTACTTGCTCTACTAGCACATGCTGTATAGTTTTCATTGTTGCTCATGTTTTTGTAGTTACTAATTTTGAAAAACTTTCTGATGTATTATCTACAATGTTGTAGTAATTAGTATTTGTGTACCTATACCAATAGTTTGTTGGGTTTTTTTTCTGATAATTAAGTAGTAATTAAAGGAAAAGAAAGAAAAAAATCAAAGGAAGTTTTTGCTCAGTTACTAATAAAGTAATTGATACTGTTCTAATTTAATGCAAGAAAAAGATTTCATAGTTTGCTTTCAGTATTCAAATAATCTAAGAGACATCACATTTAAGAAATATATCACTATATTTATTACATATTGCTCTATGATTAAAACAGAAACTCAACATTACTAAGGATTCTGTATGGTCTGGTATATGAAGGGTGGAACACCATGAGTAACCACGTGAGATGACACCAAGCCCAGTGACTTCACTGCTCTCAAATAGAAAAAACAAAGAAAGTTTCCTGAAGGTGGCATGTGATTGGTGTCTGCAAAGATGAAAAAATGACAGCTGAAATGTGTGGAAGATAATCACAAATTGAGGAAAGCCATTAACGAAAGCACAAAAATTGGTGTTGAGCAAGTTTAAAACAATTGTCCATTGTGAATGAGCTGTAAGTCTAAAGTTGTGGTAGTCAATGGCAGAAACAGAACCAGAACCTAAGTCTCTGGATGTCGCGTTCATTAATGCATTTATCTATTTATTCAACAAACAATTTTGGTCACCTTTTCAAAAAATTGTATTAGCACTCTTTTGAAAGGGTTACTTTGTTGTTGTTGTATGCCATTGAGTCAGTACCGACCCATAGCAACCTTATGCACAGTAGAACGAAACACTGCCTGATCCTGGGCCAACC